TGGGGTCGTTAAGACGGTTTTGCCAACATTTTGAAATTTGTAATTTTTCTTAATAGAGGAGTTTAGCTCTTACAGATTTTGACAAAAAATGACAGTACAAAGGTACTGCGACTGTTAAGAAATGAGGTGATTTTTAAAAAAATTTACTGAAGGAAATGCGAGAAATTCACAATTAATTAACTGCGCTGACGTCACAAAAATTCGAAAAACACGCATGGTTCGGGGTCGTGTGAGCAAAATACGCGCGCGAGCCATCACGCCTGCATGCGCATAATGACATAGCTGTATTGAACATGTGCTTTCTACGAAAGACCATTTTACTGGTATAATTACCAGTGATTACAGTGATATCTCACCAGTTGTGGAACGAGAAGATGGAAAATTCTATTTAGCTGCATACACTAGTTATGTTCTTCAAAGTACTTGACTATTGTTGCCAAAATTCGAGCGGTGGTGGTCACTCAAGGTGGTTGTGAAAGTGTCGCAATAAGCCCTTCTTTTCCAAACCTGCCGTACACTCTTTGGAGATCTTGAAATGCCAGCCCACTTCCGGATATTTTTTCAATCATGTTCTTCTTGAGGTATTGCGGATGATGAAGATTTCCTTTGAAAGTCTGCATTAGAATATGGCGGCGATCCAAATAAATCACGTCCTCAGCTGCGTGGCTTGCACTTACAACACCCGAGTTCTCGACCACAGTTTTCTCCGAAAGGTCTATCTGTGACTCAAAAAGTATTTTTCATAGTGCTAAAACATCTTCTAAAGCATCGTGTGCATTGAAGGACTTTTGGAACAGGAAAGAATACGATGATGATTGGTTCTTCTTTGGGAAGTTCCATGAGGATTTTGCTAGAAGGAAACATTTTCTCTGACAAGTGTTTTAAACAACTTGAGACAATCGGCAAAGAAAACGTCCATCGCCTGTAATCTTTCTTTAAAGGCGCTCTCAGAATTTCTTAACAGGACTGGAATGTCAAATGTGAGAGAATTGTGACCTAGGAGCACCGTCACAACATTCTTGTTTGTGCGTGACTTGGCTCTTTCTACTGACCGTGAAACAAAGCCAAGAAACTGTGACATTGCTTCCTTCAACGGTAGTGTACATACTTCTTTGTTGTCTTTGTAAAGTTCCCTTTCGCCATTTTTTAGCAGTTTGTGCACCGTTTTGTCTGCGGGCATTGGCTCTTCCCCGTTTATAAGCCAAAGAAGATTTTCAGAGTTTATCTTTTTAAACATGATTAGTCATTTTTTCTCCATACATTTCACAGAAATTGCCAGGCTCAATATTGAGTGCCTCAAGTGTACTGCTGATATAGGTATATCTTAAATTTGTCTGAGCGACTCCACAGGCCACACGAAAATCATTGCTTTCACTTCCACCATAGAATGTGATTTTTTGATTTTTTGATCCAATTACACTGTTAAGTGCCTCATTTCGCGGGGAATTTGTCAAAGGTGCAAGCTTCTCTGCCACAGCATCAGTAGAGTAGTCATTGAAGATGTTATTTAGTTCTAACTCCAATTTTTTTCCATGCATGTCTTTTCCATATGGCAGCTCTTTGTGCTTGTAGGTTCCTGGGTTGCTCTTAAATTTACACCAGCCAGTTTCACAGCTGGAGTGATCTCCAAAGTCGTGGGGAACAATTGACTTAATCGCAGCCTGGATCCCTTTTGAATCTCCTTTGTTTTGAGCAGTAACATATGAAAAACATTTCACTAAGTAATTTATCACCTTTTGAGATAAAGGGGAACAATTGTCAAATTTTTCATTTTGACTGAGGTTGTATAAACTTGTTGTGAGGGATCTTTTCATATGTATAATGTCACTGTTTTTTTCAACCTCATAGGTTACTTTTTCTCGTATTGGTGCCTCTGTTGTGGAGTCATCATCACCTGTGTAAACTGAGAACTTAACACTTTGGTCTGGAGCTCTGTTAAACAATTCAACTGCTGCAGCGGGCTCCATTGCTTTTTACGAAGCCTAATGATTTTTTCGGCAGTCATGAGCTTTGGTTCTTTTCCCATGGCCTTGGCGCTGTCACAAAATCTACAACTTTTTGTCCTTGTTGTGTAGTGCAGCACTTTACCCGAAGATAACCCCGTAACTGCTCCTTGACCAGTGCGAGAGTTATGCCCCTTGCCGCGTTTCTGCCAGCCCATGTCATAGGAACATGAAATAGGCACCAGGTTATTATCATCAACCTGAACACCATTTTGCAGGGCTTCTTGTTTTTCTATTACCAAATAATCCTGGCAGCTACTTTTTGCAACACCTTCAACAGCTTTTCCTACCTCTCTTGCCCTCAATTTGAAAGTGACAGAATTTATAGTTGGGGCATTCAAAGTAGAGAGCAAGTTGTTTATATGGGTTTGGCCAATACCCGCATGAAGACAAGCAAGGGCCACTTGTGTGTTTACGTCAAAAGCAGGAGAGCAACGTTGACCAGATTTGTGTTGTTCAGAAGTTTTGATTTCATTATTTTTTTCCACAGACTGGACAAATAATAATCACAAATGTGCTAGCTAGGCCATGGCGTACTTCATCCCCCACACTGTAAAAAGAAAGTGGACCTAAATATGATAAGTGAAATAAAAGGGCTATGTGTGAATAAAACATCTAGCATATTTGATGTATTCTAGCATAAGAAATGCCTACTCTTTTTTTGCTCCTACCCATAATATTTTTCCAGATGCTTTTTGTTGATAGCGTGGTGCACTCGATGAAGATATTGCTTTAATTGCGAAAATGTCAAAGTCTAAGTAACAAGTTGGATATGCTAATTTACTGCACATTGCAAATGCACGTGCAACAAGCTACGTATGCTAATGAGTTACATGTGAACGTGCAACACCTTTCCTTTCATGAAAAAATTAAAAAATAAAAAAATAAAATTAAAATGAACATAAATGAATAAAGTCACGAAACACATGATACAGAGTAACAGTTTGTGCTATGGCGTAATCCATGAGATAAGTCAAAGTACTTCATGTCTCGATGTCTCAAAGCTATGCAAGTGTTCAACTAATGTTCATTACGTAATCTTTAAATCTGGAGGGTAACTTCCGGTTCCTAGACGACCTCCGCAGCACGATTTCCGGTGATGCATGATGTTCAGGGTTCACGTACTCGGGCTGCTCCACCTGTTCTGTTCCACCGCTGTTTGGACTTGAGGGGTCGTCCACCTGCTCAGATGTATCTGATGCTACATCTGTGTCGATTGATACCGATTCACTGTAGCCGCGCACCGGATCGGTGGATGCTTTCCTAATTTGTGCGTGATTCCGACGAACAAGCCCCAATGGAGTACTTAAAGTGCACGATCTTGGCGCAGGCTTGTTAACCACCTCACCATGTATCCAGGGTTTGCTTCTGTTCCTCGGGCTCGGTTTCACGAAGACTCTCTCGCCGATTGCAAATTCACTGAGCTGCTTTGATGCTCGTTTGTCATAGTGGGTCTTGGCCTTTTGTTTCCTTTCCGCAATGTTCTGGGTCACTACACTTGGCACTGTTAGTTGTGGTTGGAGTTTGCTTGTAGCCATGGGAATCAGATCCCGGAGTCTTCTAGACATCAATCTCTGTGCCGGGGAATAAACGTGACCCTGCTGTGGTGTATTGCGATATGCCAGCAAAGCAATATAGGGGTCCTCTTGCCGTGATTTCTTTAAAATGTTCTTTGCANTGATAAACAAAAAGTTGTGGGTTTACAGTAGATACTAAATTCAATAGCAAACACAAAATGGTAGATTATATTATAATTTTTCTAAAGAGCAAATGTTAAAGTCCAGTCTAGCAAAGTCCATTCTGGTCAGGCTTTGTTTAGAAATGGTACATACATTTACCTGATTGACAGTGAGTGCAGCTTTGGAGACGTTTCCGAAATGTGTCAAGGTCAATTAGACGAGTTCCATCGGGAAGAGCTGCTTCTTTTTCGGCGGCAGCCTGTTATAAGCATGAAGATTTGATGTTTCCAATGATTAGCATAAACGCGCGCTTGGTCTTTTGACAAAATTTTTCTAAAGATAAAGAGTCACCGCTGTGCTTACCTGAGTACTCCTTGTGTTGCGTTTAGAGGGTGGTTCGTTTTCGTCGGTTATGTTTTCAAAATCCAGCTTTCGTTTTGCCATGTAGTTTTGGTATCCTTGTTGCATCAGTGCCATTTTATTAGAAGTTCCTTTCGCTGCTTTCGCGAAGCGACTACTTGCGCTATGCTTTACCTGGTGCGAAGGAGACAAAGGAGTAGTAACAGAGAGGCTCTGACTGACAGATGATGTGGGCAGAGAGTCTTTTTCCATATTATTAGAGGTAGCCGCAGCTATCCCCAAGACTGCGAACAAGGTATAAGGAAAGTTTCTTCTTTGTTTACGATGCAATTCACGCTTATGTCTGAAATGAGGATCGATAAATGCCGGTAAATTGCTTGACACTCAAAAACATCTCCTTTGATAAAAGTTTGTCTAAAACTGGCCAATCTTCTTGCCTTAACAAAGTTGACAAAGTTTTTTCGCGCAATTTTTCTTAAAAGAGACACCATGTTTTGTTTTTATTTTTGCGTGGAGGTCGCGCAGATTTTAAAGCTCGCACCATACTAGTACCCAGGCTGCGCACAGCCAATTTACTCTAGGGAGCCACCTTAATTGCGCCCGTTTTTTTGAAGAGTGCAAGCCGTGCCACGTTTTCTGAGTCTGTGGCGAGGAAGAAACGAAAGTGAAAGGACAGACAGGAAAAAAGCGCCAGTACCTTGTGGATGCCATTTATGTAACGGAAATTTGTGTTCTGTGAAAAAAAAAGCGCCGGCACGAGTCCGTTTTTGGAGACAACTTAATGTAAGGCTAAGCTAAAACCGCAGCA